CATTTTTGAAAGCAGAGATTTGATTTTCTTGACAGCTTTGAACCCAGCTTATACTGCGATCCCGCGAAAAGGGCAAATTCTCGATATTTTGCGTCGAGTTGGAGATACCGAAAAAAGTTATTCGAAAAAGTTTCTTAGAAATCGATTTTGATTCTACATACCGAATTTCAACGCAAAATTCAAATTTTGAATTCTTCTGTAGTCCGATTTTCAATTAATGATTCTGAATGAGAAGCTACGAAAACAATAAATTCGTCATAATGTGGAAATAAGAATGAAAAACCTAATATTCATTATGAAAAGATTCAAATTTTGTATATTAGTTGTTACTAAAAAGCAACAGAGCCGATAAAATCGGTCAAAATTAAATCACAATTAATGAAAATCTATTTATTGGCAATGGTACCTATCGCAAGCCGTCGGTCCTTTTGAAAGTTCAAAGAGTGCGGCAGCGCGGCCTGACATTCGTTTGATGATCAGTTCAACTGAATACTGTCTGTAGGTTCAACTGACTTTGCATAAACTATATCATACGATACTACGCCCACCACCATGTGGAGTGATGCCTGAAAAATCACTCGATGAAAGGCGCGCAGAGCTAAGGTGGTGAACTGTATGATGGTGTAGTTTGTGAAGGAGTCTTTGGTGTCGAAAATAGTCGAATGCTATTTCACTTCCAGTCAGCTGCTTATGATCTATAAGGCACAGATCCGACCTGTCCTGGAATACTGTTCCCATATTTGGAGTGCAGCACCCAAACATACCCTGAAACTGTTGGATTCTGTCCAAAAAATTCGTCTCGTGGGTGATGCCCCGCTCATAAACTCACTCACTTCTCTGGAACACCGTAGAAAAGTTGGCGATCTGGCTCTATTTTATAGATATTTTCATGGACGATGCTCTTCTGAAATATCAACAATTGTTCCTCCCTTGGCAGTCCCCGCGAGATTATCCTGTCGAGTTGAGGCTTCGCACCCCTTCGTGGTCACTTTGAAGACTTATTGCAGAACATCTCTCTCCAAAGACTTGTTCATCCAACGAACAGCGAGGCTCTGGAACACATTGCCTAGAGAGGTGTTCCCCGAGACATATAACCTCCAGAAAATTGAGAAGAACACCAATTTCTACCTTATTCCCCTTGGTTCTCACGATTTTCTCTGAACATTACAGGATATCACTATTCGTGGGAACCAGAACATAAAAAAAAAGAGTCAGAGTCCCTCCCTCTGGTCCTAGTTTTCAACAGTAAAAATAACATCCTCACTCCTCAGATGGAATCCCATGATTCCTCTTGAATTTTCTTGCGATGCTGAGGTGAAATGATCTCGAATGTAAGGTTGACTTGCACCAACTGTCATTTGAGCCTGTGATCTATCGCCTAGTAGATAGCGGCGTTAGTTGGCGTTTGTTTTTTGCGTTATTTTTCAACGCTTTCTGGATCGTTAGCCGTTTAAAATCTAATTTCGTCGCTGCCAGCGCAAATTAGTCTCTCCTTTAACGTGTCTGCACTTTCCGACGAATGTGTACAAGAAGGAGATAAATTTCGTCACGGCAAATTAAAAACAACTGTTTGGTGTTGCATTCGGTGATTATGAAGACCTCACTTGTCCCTCTTCTTTAATAAACAATATCCGGTCCCCAATTACCTCCTGATTTATTGACAATGGGGTTTCTATCATTGTGAATTGATAGAATACGAAAAATTTTTTTTCTATTCCTGTGACTATATATTCAATGCTAGATACCTGTGACATGACTTGTTGCAGCAGTGTCAATACGATACAACACGATACAATTTTATTTAATTCATAGATTTGTGAAGCTATCGAGCAAGTCAGGTACAATCGAGGTTTACATAAAGTGTATAAATTATAGACAAACAAACCATTTTATCTAAAACTATCGAAGAATTGATACACGTTATTGGGACAAAGGTCGAGGAGTATTTTTATACATTTTTTTTAATGAGTGCACTCTTTCGACCAATTTTAGTTCTTCAGGAAGAACGTTATACAGGGTGTCCCAAGTTATCGTATACAGGCAATTTCTCGCTTCTTTGACAAGATAATTGAATAATTCAAAAACTGCATTGAATGGCATTGAAGTACCTTCCTCATGACATATACAAACATTTATTACTTACATTTGACAGTTCTCTGGCAGCTATCTGCCACTTTTAATTTTTAAATGACTCCCCCTGTATATTGTCATTGAAAATTGCGTGCCATCCTATAAGGAATACAACGGCCGGTAGCATATACTTGGTATTTTTTTATTATTATAACAAAAAAACGTGAATGAACGTGAAATGAATTTCAACTAAAATAGCTCTTATGCTAATCAAAAAATGAACTAAAAATCACATGTGTTCAAAATTATTATGACATGAGAAGCACCGGCTTCTTGAACTAAAAAACATGATCGGAGGTAATATTTCATTTTTATAAGGATAATTGAGTAACTTGAAACAAGTCACAAAATGTTGATATTTTTGCTCTTGGGTGTATGATGAAATTGACATTCATCATACTGAGCGTGGAAAGAAATTCTGAATTGAGACCCTATCACGAATCTGCGATTAGAGGTCTGAAAAAGAGTAGATATTCTTATCACATAGAGAATGCGAATTCTCAATGAATTGCTTCATATAAATATATATCCATTTTTGTATGTCCATAATTTATCTGAGAATATTCCTTTTTAACACGTTGATATTTTTGTTATCAATTCAAAAATACCAAGTATACGCTATCGTTGTATTCCAAATTGAGTGACACGTAATTTCCAATGACAATATATCTGTCAAATATATTTGTTTTTTCATGTCATTAGGAAGGTACTTCAATGCCATCCCATGAGGTTTTTGAATTTTTCAACTATCTTGTCAAATAAGCGAGATATTGCCTGTACAAGATAACTTGGGACACCCGGCATAATCCTAATCCAAGTAAATCTGCAGATGATTTCTGGGATACTGTAAATCGAACATTTATAGGCATCAGATGGAAATTATTTCTTGATCTTGTATGATCATCATATGTAGTGAGTTATTCTTGAATAATATCTTGCGTTGCTTGTATATGTAAAATGTTCCAATAATATGTAGACCATAGAGAGGAAGAATTTTAAATTGTTTAAATCCTACATGACGTACCATTGGGGAACATCGCACAATCTTCTTCTGCCGCCAGGAAATAGTATATTGTGCAACAAGTGAGAAAAGTGCTTTTCCCCACATGTTGCACACTATACTTTTTCTACAACTGCACTTATTCAAAGAATTCGAGTAATATAGCTTATTGCTATTCATTTTATAATGTGGCAAAGTGCTGTGAGAAAAAATATTTCACACAGTATGAGCAATACATGGTTTTGAAACTAAGTCATCATTCTTCACGTGATACAATTTTGATAGGAATGATGGAGGTATCACAATAATACTACTACATATTTTTAATTCAAGATTATTTGAGTTAACATGAGTACGACCCTAATTAAAAACTACTATAGGTGTGTTGAATTTAATCGAATTCATTTCATGTTATACCCTGTTTCCAGAAATAACATCAAAGGCACAGGCTAATTTGTGGCGATATATCCGAGAGAAAAAACGTTCCTTTTCTTGTTGACAAAATATTCGGAAAATGTCACAAACCAATTAAATCGCTGTAAATACGAGAACCACTATAAATCCATTGAATTTACTGCACCGAAATTCACGTAAGTCGTTTATTACTGAAATTAATGTCACTCGCACGCCTCTAAACGTTGGAGAAGAAAACCACTCTGGAAATAATCTCGAGATACGGCACATGGTGAAAAAAGCTAGCTGGAATTCAGACATTTCACGCCTGAAAATTTCATAGGAACTTCTCTTGATCTTCCTTTTTTTATAATCATTATCAAATCCTCAAATTCAACGTAATTAGTTAGTCATTTTATATTTTGGAATTTCAGTTTGATTCTAGCTATTAATTTCAATTTTGAATATTGAAGCACTGGATATTATTGAAATATTAATATGTTAAGTATCTAGGTTTCGTGATTTCATCAGAAAAACTATGATACTGTCTGTGGGTTAATTGACGAGGTGGTACATTCCTTTTACTTGATTTTTTGGGATTTTCTCTTCTCGTTTCTATAAAATAAAAATATGCGTATTATTTCAATATATTTGTAGTGGGACAAATCAGATGATTTGCCCCAAAATGTCATTGCGTTTAACAAATGTTTTTATCAGGGAGCCTAAAAGAAAAATCCAGTATCTTACTGTCAGTGACACTTTGTTTGAAAAAATGTTTGAAGGAAAGAAATATAGATATATTGAAAAAAATATCGAATTTTTACTTATCATTGGGAGCAGATTCGTTCCCGAAACGTCCAAATGTGTTTTTGTTTTATTTTATGAGTGAATGATGTCATATTATGTTTGACTATTTCACCCGTGATCTTACCGTTTACTTTTACTTATGTTTTATTCTTCATAATGACTTTGTCAATGAGAATTTTCTCCAGACAATAAAGTATTTTTTGATTGAATGATTGATTGTAGTCAGCCGTATTATAAAATATAAAATATATAGTAGTTTAAAATTCAAAAACTGAAAGTACACACTTTTTTATGGATAGCCAGAACAAACAAAAAGTTGAAAAAGAAATAATAAAAGTGTGTAGATAAATACAAAACATAGAACATATTAGCACTTCCACAATCAGTATTTTTTGTTGTGTATTTATCAACACACCTTAATTTGTCTATTTTCTACCATATTTTAGTGTGGCGCGTTTTTAAGTTTTTTAAACTATTTATTTAAATCAATAAATCGATAATACGATTTTCGGATTTTGGAATACAATCAGTATATCTTTCAAATTGAGTTCAACTCACTACACTTTATGTATCACAGCGAAACTTTCGATTCTCCACGTTTGTCTTCAAATTCTCTTCAAAGTCCACAGGTAAAAGATGTTCTGGAACTTCTAGACGTATTTTTCGTTATAGATTATTCGTATACGGATGGCAAATCAGAAGATGAAAGGAAAAAGCGGCCTCGGACAGCTTTCACAGCAGCCCAAATCAAATCTTTGGAAGGGGAGTTCGAGAGAAACAAGTATTTGTCAGTGGCCAAAAGATGTCAGCTGTCGAAAACTCTAAAACTCACTGAAACTCAGGTGAGAAAACAGATAATATTTTCTCTGGTAGCAGTCCATGCTCAAATTGGATGTGTTGAGATAATTAAGAGAACAAACTCAAAGTCTCACTCCAAGTCAATCTTAAGAAAATAATACGTGTTACATGTTTCGACTCCTAGGAGTCATCATCAGGCTAAAATACAAAACCTGATGATGACCCCTAGGAGTCGAAACATGTAGCACGTATTATTTCATTAAAATTCACTTGGAGTGAGACTAGGAGTGTGTTCTCTTAATTATTAGATAAGATTTTTCTAATTTTGATATTTAGTTTGAAACTCTCCAAAACTAACGGAAACCAGTAGGGACCCTAGAAACCAGTAGTTACTTAATAAAAATATGGATGGAATAAGAGAGGAGAATTGTGTTCCTTCTGCTGCTTCCTCAATATAACTTGGGAAATCTGAACTTTTGAGTCAGCCATTTTCCAAGTCAACTTGGCTATACTTAATTTTGTACATAGTCGTAGGTAATATCCCAGGACCATGACAAATAACCGACTATTATTCCTATTATTATCTCGTAATTCCATCGAGAGTACCTTCTATTTTGACAATTTGATGAGACCATATGAACATTAATAATCTGAGTAACTCCCGAAAGCTTAAGCTCGAGAGCTTTAGCTATGCTGTATTCGAGATGAATTAAAGAAAAAACTAGTCTCTATTTGTCATGGTCGAGTGATATTCAGAAAAATTATTTCATGAACAGTATATATGAACATACAATTCATCCAAAGTTAGTGCTTCTGAACTTTCATTTCATTCATTCTTCTTCATCAGTACGGTGAAAAAAGTATTCAGAAGATATGCATTAGGTACTTGGTCGAATACGAAACAACAAATCGACGGAGTCATCGAACAGAAGCAGATCCTACATTTTCAGGACTACAACTAACGTCATCATGGAGGCAAGCTGGCTTCTGTTTGATGACTCCGTCGATTTGTTGTTTCGTATTCCACCAAGTGTTGCCTATTCTTTGCACACTTTTTTCACCGTACTGATGAGGGTAAAAAATCCGAAACACGTGTCTACGGTTAACTTAATATGAGAGCTATGTCCAATAATCATATCCTTGTTTGCTTGAAACAGTTCTTTCAATAATATTTCTATCGTAATTTTTTTTCGCAGATCAAAATATGGTTTCAAAATAGAAGAACCAAGTGGAAAAGGAAATACACGAATGATATAGAAGTTTTAGCCCAACAGTACTACAATTCCATGGGAATCTTGACCCCAAGACCGATATTTTTAGGTGATAGACTATGGTAAGCATTGATGTATTTTGAACCATTCTTATCCAGTTAAATTTTCAAGAAAGTCATACGAGGAGAAATAGGAAGCAGATTTATTCATTATAATATACTGAATTTGTTACAATTTCAGCATTGTCAATGATTCTTTGAATACATCGCGATTGTCTGTTTTTTGTTCATGACACCAGATATATTTTAGATCCTGTTCTAAATTGTTATCTGGAATTTTCCGGTTCGGAGATTATGATTCTTCCGTCAAATTTTGAATATTCAATATGACAGATCCAATATGGCGAACGAATTCATTAATTATGATCCCATAATATTCAAATTTGCAATCTGAGGATATTCGGAGTCGGAGATTATGATTCCATCGTCAAAATTAGGAAATTCAACATGGCGGATCCAATTTGGCGGACGAGCTTTGTAATTATGGAACGATACTATTTAAAATTGGTATCTGGGGATTTTCGGGGTTAGAAATCAAGATTCTTTCGTCAAAATTGAGAAATTCAAGATGGTGGATCCAATATGGCGGACGAGTTTCGTAATTATGATCCGATTCTATTGAAAATATGATCCGATTCTATTTCAAATTGGTATCTGGGGATTTTCGGAGTAAGAAATTATGATTCTTTCGTCAAAATTGAGAAATGGGCGATCCAATTTGATTATGATCCGATTCTATTAAAAATTTGTATCTGGGAGTTTTCGGGGTCGGAGATTATTATTCCTCCATCATAATTACAAAATTCAAGATGGCGGATTCAATGTCGCAAGAGCTTTGTAATAAATAGTGTTTTGAAAAACTCATGAAACACGCTTTTATAGATAGACAAACTGAAAAGAAGTAGAAAATAAATATCTATAGTAGTTTTGAGAACTAAAGAGATATATTACGGAACTGAAAACAAGTAGAAAATAAATATTATGTTGAAAAACTAAGAAAACACGCTTTTATGGTTGGTCAAACTAAAAAGAAGTAGGAAACAAAATAATGAAGGTGTGTTGTTGAATATTTAAGTAAAAAAATATTTTCTACAAATTGTATATCGCAATAAAACAACGTTTGTCGGGTCAGCTAGTTTATGAAAAAAATATAAGTGCAATTGATACACCATTGATGAGAAGAAAAATATTAACAATAATTTGATACTCTAATGAAGAAAATTCCTATAAGATATTAGTAGAAACCCAACACTTCAAAGTTCTCAGTTCTCAGAACTGACAAATTAATAATGAAATTCTTGAACATGATGGAACTGTGTTTGTCGTCTATTTAAGGGATCAAATGTTTCAACATCAAACTCAGATTCAATAATTAATATACCAAAGAGAGTATAAGAATTTAGCAAAACTTCACCGATTGATGAATTCCCTACCTAATTTCTTTCAGGTTTTTCAATTATCCAGGCCAACCCGGCCTATCGTCGGCCCCTCCCATGATGCCCAACATGGTTCCCCTACCCCCCGGACCCCCCCAAATGCCGATGCCCGTGCCCCCCCAAAGACCCTGTGTGAGGAATTACGTGGAATACCCACAGCTGGAGAGCCATCACAATCCACAGTCCGAGGTTTCGCCTATGCTGCAGCTGCAGAATTTCGGAAGGCATTTCGGGGATTCTTAGCTTATTTTTTTCTAATGTGGTTTTATTGTATAGCTTTAATAAAATATTTTTATAAAATTTTCCCAGAAAAAAAGGATTTTTTCTACTACCGTGTTCTCGACAAGGATGCTACAATCTTTCAGGCGGAGGTCTTCGCAATTGAGCTCTTTTCTGTTACTGAAGTTACCGAATGTTAATGTAATATTAATCAAAACACATTGTATAAAAATGTTTGACAATGATTTTGATAGATCGAATAAAATTTGTACTTTATTGTCAGAACTTCGATAATTTATTGAAGCTTTACTGATATAACGAGACTTCTATCAAACATTTGTGGTCCTTCGAGCCGAAGTTACCGAATGTTAATGTAATATTAATCAAAACAAATTACATAAAAATGTTTGACAATGATTTTAGATAGATTGAATGTTTGTACTTCAATGTCAGTACTTCGATAATTAATTAAAACTTAACTGATATAACGAGAATTCTATCGAAATCATTGTAAAACATTTTTATACAATGTGATTTGATTAATATCACATTATCATTCGGTAACTTCAGTAACACTTTTCTATATTGAACGAGAGAGCGGAGAGTTTTCTCCTCTTCCATCTTTCTCTTCAATACTACCAACCTTGTCGCATTGAAATATAGGAAGGTCCGATAAATCTGTCCTTGTCTAACATTAGGTTTGTGCCACTGAACTATTATTGAATTCAGCAGTGTCAAATTAACGATATTAACATAGACATATCACATCATTAATAATCTGAACTAACTGAAATATCTCACTAGAACTGAACCTGAATCAGTTATTGTGTTCTTTCCAAACAATTTAATTAGTTAAAATGCATGTTAACTGGTTTAGTTGAGTCCAAGTGAAATAGGTCAGTTAGTTCACAAGGAAAGGAAAATATTCGGAATAAATTGGGCTACAATTTGTTGTTGAGAAATCGTTTCAATTATTAGTGGTTCACTCCACAGGATGTCTTAAAAAATACCAAAAAATCCGTACTTTCTTTACACCCCTGTATATGATATAAAGACGAATCGTTTGAAGGTGGTTATTTCTCAGATGTATTTGTGAAGAATAAAGCTACAATTCGTGGAAAAAAATTGTAATCGAGCGATCTGTTCGAGAGAAAATTGATGTCAAAGGTAGTGTTAATTTTGCCCGTTCCCCTAATTGGGCCAGTGGCTGTAGTAGGTACACCCGGAGGAATTTTTTCCTCAATATTTCCGGAACCTCTCATTGAAAAATCACAAAATTAGAGAGATCACATGATGCCAATGCTGAATCAGAAGTAGAGCCCAGAATTTCTAAATCATATTCAGGGACGTAGGTAACGTACTGGATGGGTTGAGGGTGAAAATAATTGAATTTTTCATGATATGTTTTCCACATGATAATCGCAGACTATGATACCTGAAAGTTTTTTACATGAAAACTTTACTCCTAATTCAAATCAATAGGGCGAGTTGTTTTTGAAAAAGTTCTCTCAAAAACTTTCTGATGCATCAGCACCAAACATTATATTATCTTATATTAACAAAATTTGTGTGGACACAATAGGTATATATCTGTGACACTTTCTTGTCCAAGTTGAAATTTTCAATACCAAATTAATTATTCATTCATGAATTCATACAAAACAACAGAAATGTATACTCTCATTTTCTTACTGTGTACTTATGGAGATGCTATTGACATATTCAATGCTGAGTTGTCCATGGAAGAATTCTGTGCAGAAATTGCATGAAATAGATCATCATCTTCATCCAACATTGCTTGCATCCTCTTCTTGTATCTGCAAACAAAACAAGAAAAAGATTTAAAACTTTCAAATACACAAAAATTTTCTTGTTTCTACTCACATTTCACTGTCTGGATTATTATCTGGATTTCTGCATTTTTCTAACTTTTTATCTAGTATTTTCTGTTGATTTCTATCTGGAACTGAGTCTACCATTTTCACCATTGATCGAATTGCTGGAAAGATTACATTTTCAAAAGAACACTGCAATAGATACCTCATCTTTAAAATAATTCATTACTGGAGACAGTTTTCCTGACTCCCAATGCTAGGAATTCCTATTTGTTCAATAGATCATATTTATATAATTATTCCACTGATCTCTGTGGTCTTGCACACTCTTAATGTATTGAAATATATATTTATTTTGTAAAAAATAATACCCAAGATCATTGCTCCAGAGGTAAAAAAGTTTTGAGTGTTTCCAAAATAATTTTCTTACCTCTGACTGCTTCAATCAACTCTTCCAACTTCCCCCTACCATCTTCCCCAAACAAAATATCAGTCACATAGGAATCCAGGTTTTCTTGCAACTTGGAAGCAGCATGTAGTACTGCTGCTAAAGCCACTTGACTAGGTGAGTATAGCAAAATGACATCAGTGAGAAGGGACCTTTCTAGAAAGTGTTCAATGCCAGATCTCAGTCTTTCTGGATCTTGAAGAGAACCTCTAGTCTAAAAACAGTTTGAATATGAATGCATATCCATGCCAGAGTGCAACTACTGAACATGTTTGATTTAGTTTAATGAATTCCATGAATACTTGCAAAGGGCCCAAAATAATAATTATTCTGAGAAGAAGAAACAAAAGAGGTGCGATTTTATGAATCTCAATTGTTCAAACAGACTGCCATTTTGAATAAATATGTGATATGAATTCAAAAACCTTGTTAAAAACTAATTCCAAAAGTGCATTTCTGGAAAGGTGAGAGCAAATTGACATTTTTGAAATTCATATAAGTAGGTACCCCAAACTGAGCCCCAAACTTTCTTTCATATAGGTAGGTACTTAAGATATTGCTAGAACTCCTGAGATATATCTATACTCTATACTAAAATAAAAAGCAACAAAACAATGCATTCTGTATGTGTGCAACTACTGAACATGTTTGATTTAGTTTAATGAATTCCATGAATACTTGCAAAGGGCCCAAAATAATAATTATTCTGAGAAGAAGAAACAAAAGAGGTGTGATATTTTATGAATCTCAATTGTTCAAACAGACTGCCATTTTGAATATGTGATTTGAATTCAAAAACCTTGTTAAAAACTAATTCCAAAAGTGCTTTTCTGGAAAGGTGAGAGCAAATTGACATTTTTGAAATTCATATAAGTACCCCAAACTTTCTTTCATATAGGTAGGTACTTAAGATATTGATAGAACTCCTGAGATATATCTATACTCTATTCTATACTAGAATAAAAATCCACAAAACAATGCATTATGTATGTGTGCAACTACTGAATATGTTTGATTTAGTTTAATGAATTCCATGAATACTTGCAAAGGACCCAAAATAATAATTATTCTGGGAGAAGAAGAATCAAAAGAGGTGTGATTTAATGAATCTCAATTGTTCTAACAGACTGCCATTTTGAATATGTGATTTGAATTTGAAAACCCTGTTAAAAACTGATTTCAAAAGTGCATTTCTGGGATGGTAAGAGCAAATAGACAATTTTGAAATTCATATAAGTACCCCAAACTCTCTTTCATATTGGTGGTACTTAAGATATTGATAGAACTCCTGAGATATATCTATACTCTATACTAGAATAAAAATCCACAAAACAATGCATTATGTATGATATGAAATTGGAATGTGAGCTAATCTACTTATTCCACCTCAATAATAGCTTCTTAAATTTTATTTCTTATAGATACCATGAATCTGAATATGCCCCCCAGTGTGTTCAGATATGTGTAGATACACTCTTATTATACATTTTTTAGAACACTACAAATAAGAATCACAATATATTATAATTATTATGTATTATTCATGTATTTATCCAGTGGGCAAAGAGCCAAAAATCACCATTTATAGAGAAGAAGAAACAAAAGAAGTGTGACTATTCCAGTTTGATCTTCAATTGTTAAAATCCCAGCCATTTGCTAATTTGTTTCTTGGCTTCTTTTCAAATCATAATTCAAATTGCTTGATATGAATATCAATGTTTTTTCCTTGTTTTTTTTTCAGTGTTCTAGTGATTGTGTTCTTGCAGCTGCTGTTTTGTGTAGGATATTCCATGAAAAGTAGCAGGAAGTACCAGGTTAGTAATCATACCTCTTTCCTTTCAATGATGAAACAATATCATCATGATTGTATATTATTATCTTCATGAGATACCCATATAGTCAAACAGATGAGGCTCACCTTTATATCTATCAACAATCCTTCCACAGGACGAAATGGGTTGTGTATTGATAGATGGAAGCTAAGCTGTTCCATGAGCAATAATTCATTATTTAGAATTATATCAGTGGCTTTTTCTCTATCACCTTTTATATTTGCCACAAACTGCTGAATAGATACATTGAATTCTTCCACTTTACATGCTAAATAAATACATGTTACCCTGAAAAACATTACTGTTTAGGTGAAGTACTAGAATATTATGACAGACTCACATTATTTCTTTGGGATGATAATTCATGACTGAATTATTGATGTAAAAGCGTTTGAAATAATGAAAAGAAGTGCCAATAACATATCTAGGCATGGGAGGTTGAAACCTTTTGCAAAAATCACGCAAATGAAGTTCATATCTTTTTACCATTATCTTTTCTTCTTCGGAAGTAAGGAACACTTCGTATTTGGCTGCATCCTAGAACATATTTATGAAAAAATCAAGAGCCCTTTGAATGACCAAAGCTAAAAGAATTTTACATTGACTTGTCGGCCATAATTTTTTATATGCTTCTGGTTGGCACGATCTCTGAGTTTGCTGAGTTCATCTTCATTACTGATACTGAACATCCAATATTTGCACTGAGTACTCGTTGAAAACATTTTAGGCAGCTTTATTTTCAACCCTGAAAGGATATAAACAAAACATTGCCGATTTTATTTTGGGACTGGCTACTGCACGGTCCGACCATTCACTAATTTAGCGTTCGGGGCCGGTCCGACCGTACAATAACATTTTGTTCGGAGCCGGTCCGAATACTTCGACACCTAGATGAACCTTTTTTCTTGAAGAAGGAGAATTTTTCTTGAGGAAGGAAAATATTGTTTATGCATAAAAAATGAGAAGGCGGTACATATACTAAAAATTGGAACGATACAGAGAAGATTAGCATGGCCCCTGCGCAAGGATGACACGCAAAATCGTAAAGCGTTCCCACATTTTTAGTATATGTACTCGCTTCGGCGGTACATATACTATTTATGAGTATATCTGTACTTGTATTAACACCAAATAAAATATTCTATTCTATTCTAACCTAACCTAACCGAACCTCACCTCTGGCCTAAACATAGAAAACCCCTAAATAAACCTATTTCCCATAGAGAATATTTTTTAGAAATCACTTGAGAACAAGAAAAAAATAAAAAAAAGATGAACCTCGCACGGATTCGAACACCGGCCCACCGGATTGGCATGCCGATGCTCTGCTTACTGAGCCAACCAGTTGCTTACGAGACGAAGTATGAACAATATATTAATGTACGGTCGGACCGGCCCCGAACAAAATGTTATTGTACGGTCGGACCGGCCCCCAACAAAATGTTATTGTACGGTCGGACCGGCCCCGAACGCTAAATTAGTGAACGGTCGGACCGTGCAGTAGCCAGTATCTTTTATTTTTGTAAGTTGAAAGTTGAGGTTATGTGCATGTTTCCGATTATCTAGTGACATCTAGTTGACAAAAGTTCAAGAAGTACACTTTCTTTCAAGATATATTGCTAAAGAAGAACTCTGTATGGTATGTAGGAATTAGCCAAAGATGAGTAGATCGTTCTGCAGAAAGAAATCTGTATTACACATGTATCAAAACTTCGCTAACTAATGCATAGTTCTCTAACTGAAAGATAGATGGCGCAGCGCAAGCAAATCTTAATTTCAATCAGTTAACATTCAAGAGATGCTGAACAAAAAAATGTAAGTTACATGAACCATAGATCAATAAACCATGGTATGGATGGACCCATACTTGACTTGACATTTCTGGAAATGGACCTTCATTGTAGTGTATACAGAGAGTCAATTAATTGAGTGCCGATAATACAAGGTGTGAAACCTCGGATAAATTTCATAAAAAACACACTTGTATCACAAACAATAAAAAGTCCAGGATGTATGATGATATATTTAAACCTTTTTTCTAAACCACCCGAGGATTCACAAGTTGTATATTATCAGCACTCAATTAAAAAACACCTTGTATAGTTCCTGTATGATCTAAGAGATGGGTAGGCCCTGACCCGTCGTTTGGTTGGATCTTCGATTCCATATCTCATATTCATATATGGTTGAAACAATTAGTATTTTTTATTATACCAAAAAAATAGGCATCAGTTACTATAAATAGAGGAAAAACTAGTGATGTTCATTTGACTTGGACTTTTGGACAAGTTTTCATAATTTAGGGGGCGGTTATTTGAATAAATGGACAACATTCAAATGCTCCAATCGAAATCATTATTGATCATTTCGAAAATTCTCAAGTGTTTTCTTTTAAAGCACTCACTCTATGTGTATCCACAGGAGAAATACTTATTTCAATTCATGGCCTTCCAAGAATTATTTGAAATGTTTAAAATTGATTATTGAAAATCATCATGACTTTTCAGTTCTATCTGAGTTACCTCGAAACTCATAGGTATAGGTTATTTTGCATAAATAACATACCCACACCGTCAGGTAAAAAAAATAGCTAGAAAACCTGAATATAAAATGGAATTTGAAGTATTGAACCGTAGCTAGACCAGTTTTTAATCACTCCTGAACGTAATTATTTCAATTAATTGCGAACGCAGCGCAAATAGACACAGCCGATTGATTTCAAGACAAGGGCAAAATATGATGAACGTTGACTGGTCGATCTAGTATTTTGAGTGCACTATATCTTCAGAATCTTTAGGTTGATTTCAGAAGTTAAAAATCAGCCTTAAACCCAGTTAGTGTGGATGTTTTTAAACATCTATCTTTACTCATAGAAGGGAATATTGAGAAATTTTGGATATCTATTAGGAATATTCTCTTTTCCATCATGATATTCCTTGAAAAATCAGAGCTACACACAAAGCCTGAATGGGCGATATACGCGGTGAGTGATAACAGCAATTTTGAACAATATAATTGTTGAAGAAAAAGTCAATATATTATTTCATAGGATTCATTGAAATTATTTGAAATTTCCGAGAACGAATTTTGTGTTGAATTTCTAATTTGATATATCAATGAATTAGGAATGTAAAGAGAATGAAAAAAACAAGGGGGTGTAATTTGAGAAACAGTTATAGGGGTATTTTCGAGTAGATTGTTTGACATGAAGATGATTCGATTTCATTGTCTTGGAGAGCTTCCGCTCCCTATATTCCAAAAATTTTTGAGATATAACCCGCAGATATCTGCTGGCCAAAAATCTCTGGGACATCCGACGGTATATCTATATAGCTGAATTAGGGCTACTGTAATTTGCACAATCAATTACCTATAACAGAAGAAGACTCATGTTTCATGTTAAGAAGGCATATATTGTCGAGGGATATGCGTTGGTTATATACCAGGTATAATAATAATTTAATGTGGCAATTTTCCGTGATCTTCATTTCAACACTTCGTATTTCTCAAACGAGCTAACATGATATAATCGTTAGATAAGACGAGCGTTGTAAATGTAATGAGAATATTTTATCGTCCGTGATAAGTATTGACTATTAAAATCATTTATATTCTATACACATAATACCTATATGTTTACCTACGGCCACTATAGAAAGTATATAGGCAAGAACACACGAGATACAGCCTCAGTAAGTAGCTCTTTACGCACATGTAAGCAAATAGCACAGTTTTCGTTTATTCCGCCAGTATATATAGGTATGTCATGATCGCGTAATCGCTGTCAACAGCGGATGTCATAACTGTCAAGAATAATTATAATTCAGACTGTTTGTCCAAACTTTTCTGATGCACTATATATACATTTTCATTAGTTCAGTGAACAGTGAACGGGTGAAGAGTTGGAGATAGTTCAAACAATTCAAACTAATTATGACGAGCAAATCAATTGACACATAAAAGAACAGCTACAACATGTTTACGATACCCAAATTGTCCTGCTTTGCAGGCACAAATACAAATCCATTGTTCTACAGGAGTTCCTCTGGACCCCAACTTCAATTTCACTTCATGTGGGGAAGATTTCATCGCCGAAGTCTGTAGACAAAGTGCAAAAATGTGCTTTTTGTTGAAGTCTTCTGCCTCACACAAAATCACATGATTAGCACGGAGAACTGCTTCTCCTTCTACTACTGGTCGGCTTTTTCCATCTGAATAGAGCAAAAAAAAACTGCCAAAAGAACATCTACAACAGGCGTTATTAGCGTTTCCGATCGAATATTGACAATTAATGTCAAGAAATTTTAAAACTTATCACTCATATCAGTACACAGTATATACACAAGCTTATGGCACTAATGGGATTGAGTGAGGATTGAGTTTGTTTTCCCCCAGTTTTGACGTGACTTTGACATGGAACGATGAAAACCGAGCGCCACCTGGTAACATTGATTCCCGCGAATTGTGTTCTCGGTTGTCACTCATTCGGAGAACTGTCAACTTTGACGCGTTAATTTCAATTCGAAAAAGAATCATCGGCATGAAATCGGATCAGAGGAATGTTTAAATTCCGATATAGAAATTGTGGCGAATGCAGCAATCGAAACTTCTGTATATACCTGCTATATTCATGATTGGTTAATTTTTTTTTTGAATAAAAATATAATTTGAAATTATATTTTTCTCACTTTACCGCACTAGTGGGGTGAAGTATCTCATTACGAAACTGAAGTCAGTGTCGTAATGTTTCACATTATATATTGGTAGTACGTAAAGTATAGTATGTAATGCGTGTTGTAAAGAAATTACGACGCACTCACTTTTCCATTCGTGCGTAATATGCTTCTAACAACCCATATAATATACTAATATCTATACTATAACTGAGATGCTGCATGGTGGTAAAATACCACAGTTTTTTTACTATATAGGGAGACGAAGGAAATTGTCGACTAAACTTCTTATAGTGGACAAGGGTCTGGCATATTTCGAAAACCATCAGGTCATAAAAAGTAGTGTACCCTAGCTATGTTTATTGTAGTTGATGTATGAATTCTAAAACCACGATCAATTGATAGAATATTCCGATAGGAAAATCTCCAATTGAATTTTCTTTTTTCGACTTTTTTGTCCATTATTTCCCTCATGAGGGTAAATGTAGACGTGCTGAATAGTTTGTTCATTATTCATGGTAAATTTCTTAATGTAATTTTGGATATACAAATAGTTCAATATTGATAACTTTTCGAATTAAAAAATTATGATCCGAATTATAAATTATAAGTGTTAATTCAACTTTTAATTGGACATTACATCTTTATATGATATAATTGACATTGAATGTAGAGGAAATGGATGTACAAAATTTATTATAGGAGATTTTGAAATTGCATTTGTCAGAAAATGAAGTGAAAAAATAAAGAACAAACAATAATTCAAAAAACATTAAAGAAAAATAAGAAACAATTCATTTTAGAATCTTTTGGTCTTCACCTTAGTCTATTCTTCTGAAGGTATATACTCCTGTACATCGAGATGCAAAACACGCAACGTCACTTTTTTCCACATCAGACCATCAGACCAGTTTGGTCTGACCGCGGCGTCTCTCGTTTCGATGACGGTTTTAGTGGTGTGCCTCAGGGCACCGCTATATACCCAGTGCTGCCGTTTCGATATACTATCACGTTTTTAAGAAATTCGGCAACTTTTGAGTACATGTACTGTCATTATGGCAGTATGACCATTTTTGCAATTAGTCTAATTGCGAGAATTATTGACTTC